TGAACGATGGTCCCGTGTTGGACGGCCTCCCGGCCGCCCCCCTGAACAATGACTTTAGGGACGGTCCCTTGACCGTCCATATTCCTCGTGATCCCTCGTGTCTCTTTGTTTTTCTCTGGCTCCTAGTGTTTTGTTGTTCCTCTAGCTCCTCGTGTTTTGTGTTCTCTGGCTCCTCGTGTCTTGTTTTTCTCCTTGGCTCCTTGTGTCCTTTTGCTCCTCGTGTCTTGTTTTTCTTCTCGTGTCCTTTTTGCTCCTCGTGTCCTCGTTTTCTGGTTCCTCATGTCCTCGCTCTCTGTGGCTCCTCGTGTCCCTTTTCTGGTTCCTCGTGTCCTTTTTCTCCTTGGTTCCTCGTGTCTCGTTCTTTGTGATCTCTCGTGTATTTTCTCTGGTCCCTCGTGTCTTTTCTCTGGTCCTTGTGCTTCCTCTGGCCCTCCACCCTTGCAGTGCCGCCCTCCACCCGCCCAAGTCCTTCGGGAGGGGGGTTTTCTGGGGGACGCCTGGAGGCGTCCTTGAGGGGGGGTACTGTAAGGATGGTACCATTTACTGGTTCTGTTTGTGTCTGTGTTTCCCTAGTGTTTCCTCATCAGCTTAATTGGTGTCACCCTTGTCTCGTCACAGCTGTTTGTAATCACGTCTCGTTTTGTCCTTGTATAAAAGCTGTCTGTTCTGTCTTGTTCTTCGTTGCGTCGTATTCGTTGGGGTCTTCAGTGTTCTCCTGTGTCTCGTGAGTTTTCCTGAGCTTCCTGAGTCTTGTCTGAGTATCCCTCCTGAGTCGTCTAGTTTAAAGTAAGTGTGCTGCCACGTCAGTTTATTGTTTTGTTACTTTTTTTCATCATTAAAATACTTATTTTTGTAATCTGCCGAGTTGAGTCCTGTCTGCGCTACTGGGTTCGTTCTTGTCCACCAAACCCTGACAATTATATGCATACAGGAAACATGGTTAAAACCTAACCTGGATTTTGTTATAAAAGGGTATGATGGTATAAGAAGAGACAGGGAAAAGGAGGAGGGTGTGGGGTTTGTATAAAACAGGGAATACATTATTAGATTGTAGGGAAAGGTATAGAATTGGAATATATTGTAGTTTAAATATGGGGGTTAGAAGGAAAATGTAGAATAATTAATTTTTATATTCTGTGTAAACTACTGACAATTGAAATGATGGGATATATGGAAGGGAAAGTTATATGTGTGGAAATTTTAATGCAAATAGTACATTATGGGGTAAAAGTAACAATAAAAATGGACAAGTTATTGAAGAGTTAATAGAAATGAAAAACCTTGTATGTCTTAATGATGGGAGGGGAACAAGGATTAATGTGAGAACAGAAGCGGAATCAGTAATAGATTTAACATTTGTGTCAAACTCAGTGGCTGGAATTAGTTGGTGGGACATTAATAAAAATACAACAATTGGTAGTGATCACTATCCCATTAAAACAACAACTGGAATAAAACTGAATAATAATAGTATAAAAGAAAATAAGAACTGGAACTTTAATAAAGCAGATTGGAATAAATTCAAATATTTGAGTAATAAAAGGACAGAGAAAATTGACATGACAATGGATGTTAATGAGGTAAATAGTTGTTTGTAAAATGATTTTGGAGATTTCAGAACAATCAATCAAAAAAGGAGGGAGACGGAGAGATAAGAAGATAGTACCATGGTGGACAAATGATTGTAGTGAAGCAATAAAATCAAGAAATAAAGCCTTTAAAGCACTTAAAAGTAATCCAATATACCAGAATCTTATTGAATATAAACGAAAACAAGCCATGGTTAGGAAGATAATTAAGGAAGCAAAGAGAAAATATTGGAGGAACTTTTGTGATACTATTGGGAGAGAAACAAAAATTGAAAAAAATTGGAAAGTAATTAAAAGAATGAATGGTATTAATAAGGAATATATATATATATATCCAGTATTAACATTAGATAACACAACAATAGTTAAAGATGAAGAAGAAGCTGAAATTTTAGCTGAAACATTTAGTAAAATTCATAGTACATGTAATATTAGTGAAGAGGGAAGAAAAGGTAGGAATACAACAAAATTAAAATATAAAGACTTACTACAGAATATTAATGAAACCAATAATCTACTTAATGAACCTTTTACAAAAGCAGAATCAAATCGTGCACTCAGGAAAACCAAGAAAACACCCGGGAAAGATCAAGTATGGTATACAATGATAGAACATCTGAGTGAAACAGCCAAAGATATTATTTTAGAGATGTATAATAAAGTCTGGGAGGAGGGGAAACTACCACTAAGTTGGAAGAAATCAGTTATTGTTCCAGTAGCTAAACCAGGTGAGGACAGAACGAAGCCAGGAAATTATAGACCCATTGCATTAACTTCAAATATATGTAAAATAATGGAAAAATTTATTAATGACCGATTAACATATTATTTAAATAAAAAAGGATATATTTGTAAATATCAAAGCGGGTTTAGAAAAGGCCGTAATACATATGATTCAACAATATGTTTGGAATACGAAATTAGGAGAGCACAGATAAATAAAGAAAATGGTTATGTCAGTATTTTTTGACATAGAAAAGCCTATGACATGTTGTGGGTAGAAGGATTATTAATTAAAATACGTAAATTGGGTATTAATGGTAAAATGTTTAATTGGATTAAGGACTTCTTATCAAATAGAAATTTACAAGTTAGAATAGGTCAACATATTTCCAAAAACTATTCAGTTGAAAATGGAACACCGCAGGGCAGCATTATAAGCCCAGTACTGTTTTCTATAATGATAGATGATGCTTTCGCAGAAATTGAAAAGGGAATGGGCTGTTCGCTTTTTGCGGATGATGGAGCCATTTGGAAGAGGGGACATAATGTAGACTTTACTACTAAAAATATTCAGGATGCTATTGTTAAAATAGAGAAATGGGCATTTCAATGGGGGGTTAAATTCTCTGTGGAAAAAACAAAGGTGATGATGTTTACACAGAAAAGACAGATAAAGGATATTACAATTAAATTATATAATCAAGAATTAGAACAAGTAAAATTTATAAAGTACTTAGGAATATGGTTTGATGAGAAAATAGCATGGAATATTAATATACAAAAAACTATTGATAAATGTAAAAAAGTTCTAAATATTATGAGATGTTTAGCGGGAAGTGATTGGGGGCAGAAAAAGGGGCTTTAAAAAGAATTTACATAGGTTTGATCAGATCAAATATAGATTATGGAAGTATTGTTTATGGGTCAGCAGCGAAGACACATCTGGAAAAACTGGACAGTATTCAACATCAAGCACTAAGGATTTGTACTGGAGCATTCAAAACCACCCCTACAGCAGCAATTAAAGTTGAGATGGGAGAAATGCCATTAGAATTAAGGAGAATACAATTCAATAAGATAGTGGATCAGTTTACAAGGAAATAAGTCAAATCATCCGACAATAGAAACTTTAAAACCATGTTGGGAAAAAGAGAAAAAGGAGACACGGAGTTTTGGATGGGTAATTAATAGAAAGGCAGAAGAATTACAAATTACCAACTTAAGAATTAGTCCAGTGGTGCCTTTGCCAGCAGTATCACCATGGATCCTACCAGATGCAATAGTAGATTTAACTCTTTTAGACAAAAAGAAGGATAAAGGATAGATTTTAAATTCAAACACAGTACAGATATATATAAACAACTACTATAATCATATTCAGATTTTTACAGATGCATCAAAAAAATCTAAATGGAGAAATAGGAATAGCCTTTGTTAAACCAGAATTTCAGATAAGACAAGGAAAACGAGTTACAAATGGGTTATCAGTATACACAGGAGAAATATTAGCAATATTATTAGCAATACAGTGGATAGAAGAAATTAGACCTTTAAAAACAATAATTTGCTCAGATTCTAGTTCAGCATTAACCAGTCTAAAATACAACCACTCGGACAGTAGACCAGACATTTTAATAGAAATACAGCAAACATTATTCAGGATACAAATGATGGGATTAACAGTTATATTTATTTGGGTTCCAGCTCAAATTGGGATTAAGGGTAATGAAATAGCAGATGGGGAAGCAAAAAAGGCAACAACAGGACAAGTTAATTTTACAGTGACTACAAGCAAATCAGAAGCAAAAAGTATAATTAAACAAAAATTGAGGGAAAGGTGGCAGAATGAATGGGATGAAGATAACAAAGGAAGGTGGTATTATAGGATTCAAAAAAGAGTAGAACAAATGAGAGTAGGAAGAAAAAATAGAAGAGAGGAGAAACTATTAACAAGGTTAAAATTTGGACATAATGGACTTAACAGTTCACTATACAGAATACAGCAACACAATACAGGAAACTGTCAATATTGTGGAGAAAATGAGACAATAGAACATATTATCAGGTCTCTCTTGTAAATGAGTCCTCGAGGCTCAATGGGATTTACCTGTATAAATAAAGGTTGATTGATATTATTTTAGTATGTAGAAGATATGTGAGAGAAAGGAGATTAATGTTGGAAGAATTTAGGGAAAATAAAGAAAAGTTTAATTTAATAAATATACTACAGGGAAACTCAGATAGTAAAAGTACTCGGATTTTAATTAGATTTTTCTGGAAAACAAAGATGATTAACAGAATATAGCATAGAATAAAATACATTTTGAGCCACACTCCATACCGGTAGGTGGCGGTAATGCAACCTCAACGTTTTTTGCCAACCGCCAATAAAACCTCAAGAACAACAACAACAACAACTAGAGTGCGTGCGCTGTCACGGTAGAGGCGCGGGCATGCGCAGAGAATTCGGCGCGCGAAGCTCCAGCAGCCGGAAGTGAGAGAAGCTGAAGGCAAACGGTGGCAGTTTGGGATTTGAATCTCTCAAACAACTTCCATAATCTGTAAACATCAACTTTAATATGGCAGACCCGAAGGTGAGGGTGCGCTTTACGGGTCATTTAATATTCCTGTTTTTTATTAAAATTTAAATTTGGTAACGAACTTTGTGTTTTGGGTTTGAAACTTCGGAAAGGAAGCTGCGAGACAAATGCCGACAATGATGCTGCCCTCCTGCAGCTAGACAAGCTAATAGGAGTGGTTTGTTTATGGTCTAGATGTATTTTTTAATTTAAAGTATTAGTAGTTTCTCACAGTAACGTGTTGAGCCACGTGTCCGCAGTGAATTTTGTTTTAACATTTCTGTTTAGAGTTTAAATTTACGAGCTCAGAAAAGTACTCTGAAGTGGTCAGCCAGCATGTTAGCAGCCGCTTAGCATTAGCATTAAACACGTAACAATTGAGAATTTAATTATTTTTACATGTCATACGTTTTTAATGAGATTTTTTTAAATTTAGTGATGAATGACCGGGTTGAGATGGTGAGCTGAGCTACGTTTATGCGTTGTCTGCTCTGTTCAGGAGTTGCTAACATTAGCATCATGGCAGGGCGCTGCAGAGACTGATCCCGTTACATAGTTGTGTTTAACCGATAAAAAAATGTTGCGGTCTTGTCTCCATTTGTCTAAGAAGGGTGTCACCAAAACGCCCGCATAGCATCTACATTAGTTGGTTATCATTTTCTGTAGAAATAGCTAAACTATTAGCCACTTGCCAAACTAGCCTGCTCCATTTCAGGCCTGCAGTCGGCTAAGTTCACAATAAGTTGTCAGGACATTAAACGCCTCATGGCTGACGGTAAATAATGGAGGCATTTGTGTACACGAGCGTCTCCAACAACAGATTCATAAATGACCTCCAGTGAGTTAACATTAATATACGTTTGGGTCGCAAACCTGGAAATCCTTTGTCCAGGAAAAAAGGTTCATTTTTTTGTACTCTCCCAACATGAGGCACGCTTTCAATCCTCCAGGGCTTTTAGATCATTCTTTTAACTTTATTCACAGTTTAATGAAAATGGTCGATGTTTCAATGAACGTTTCTGAAGGTTTTTACATGTAAGCTGCAGTCAAAATGCTGGGCTCAGCAGCTGCGAAGTTGACAAGCTTTTGTCTCCTCTCTTTTGAACCCCCTCCCTTACAAAAGCTACAACTAAGCTGCTGGTGCCTTCACTGATATTACTCTGCTTCATTTAAGTTTGCAATCACATTGTGTCTGCTGTAGTTCGTTTAATGGCTGATTTAAAGTGGAATTCTCATATTTATTTTAGCACTTTAAAAAAAAAACTCTTTTCTTTAAGGACCAGGAAGACCATGACACCACTGTAGATGGCACAGAGGAATCTAATCATGATCCCCACTTTGAGCCCATCGTGTCTCTTCCTGAGCAGGATGTTAAAACATTAGAAGAAGACGAGGAGGAGCTCTTCAAAATGTAAGTTGTATTAATGGAGTTTTTTATGATGCAAGCTCGATTTAAGTGTTAGGTATTTGGACTATCCATCCGTCCGTCTTTACTCGCTTCTTCCTTTTCGAGTCACAGGGGTCACTGGTGCTCAAGTGCAGCAGTCACTGCGAGAGGCAGGGGACACCCTGGACAGGTCACAAGTCCATCACAGAGATGCATGGAGACAAATGTTGGTTTACGTACTGTAATCCCAGATTCTATTTCGTATAGGCTTCGCCCTTTAAAGCTATCGCTAGTGGGTTTCAGCGCTGCGCGAAAGGATAAATCCACTAGCGATAGCCTTATAGGGCGAAGCCTATACGAAATAGAACAGAAACGAGTCAACCATTCACACACTCACTCACACCAACTAGAATTCCAAATTTTCTTTTGTCAAACCCAATTTATAGTCATAAGTTTAGGTACAGTTGTGTTTTTTTTTTATTGTGCCAATTCTTTTTACTTTTGTGGCTAAACAAATACTGATAAAAGTATATCTATAAAATAAACTGTTGTTTTCCCAGGCGGGCTAAACTATATCGTTTTGCCTCCGAGAATGATCCACCAGAGTGGAAGGAGAGGGGGACTGGTGACGTCAAGCTGTTGAAACACAGAGAGAAGGGCACAATTCGCCTCCTGATGAGGAGAGACCGGACCTTGAAGATATGTGCCAATCATCACAGTGAGTCATACTGACCCCATCATACCTATACCTTGTGGTTTTCATATTATTGGGCCAAATCTCTTTACAAGAAAATTATAAAGAATACCCTTACATGCTGATGTGTACATTTAGCTTCTTCGGCTTCACACAATACATAACAATCCTACGATGATGATATTGTCATCTTAAGTGTCTCACTGGGCTACAACAGCTGGTAACTAGTTTGGGAACGGCCTTTGCAAGGAAGCCTCCAGGATGTTTTATTTCGTATAGGCTTCGCCCTTTAAGGCTGTCGCTGATGGGTTTTATCCCGATATGCGAATCATTGCACTGAAAAATTTAGTCCACACCCACCTGCTGTGTGGGCCCAACTCGGTCCGTATAAATTACGTTAAGAGCGGGTAATCGGCTCCCATTTTTCTTCAGCGAGCTAATAGCACTGTCAGAAGAACGAAGAAGGAAAGTTGTGTAGATGACTAACCTTTGTTAAGAATGCTTGGCCCGTCACGTCGACCTCTGGTCGTCCCGGTGAGCTCTCCTCCCCGAAGAGAAGCTGACGAGCAGTCTTGTTTCAAGGTAAGCGCCGAGTATTTCTCAGTGACAGGTTGCTACATGCTGGACAACGCCATCTTGTAATTTTCCTCTTATCGCCGACCCTCGGAGCGAATCGGATGGTTCCTCCGGGACAGGCGACGTCAGCTGCAGCCCCGTTGCTCATTCCATCCTGGAGAGCGTAGTGTCGGTGGAGGGGGGCTGAGCGAATGCTCGCCTCATCCCACCTCGTTTCGCATCGGCGATCACACCGCTCCCGGCCGATGGCGCCCTCTGGGGTTGCCTGGCGTAACCCAGGAGGCAGCTGACATGAAGGAACCCTTTTTTACGTCCCGCGCCTTATCCGCCAGTTCGGATGATCCGGCGGGAAGTTTTTTTTTCTGGGCTCCATCCCGGCTCGCCGTCCTGATCCCATCTGGCCTCGGTTTCCCAACAGGACGTCCTACGGGGACAAGGCCACAGCCGTTTTCCTGGTAGATTGGGGGGGGGGGGGCGGCTTCCACAGTCTGCGCTCATCACCAGAGCAGATGGGTTTCACCGAGCGGAAATTCCCTCAGTGCCCCCTGGAGCCGAGCCTGACGGAGACTTTTCTCGGAGCAAGATGTCCAGGTGGACCAGCGTCCCGCGCCTCCGGTTAGCGTAACCCAGACGGTGACACCGCTATCCAACCGAGCTCACCTGTTAAATCTGGGCTTCGCCATAAAATGGAAGAAAAGCTCGATTTTCCCAGCCCAGACAATTGTTTATCTGGGAGTGGAGCTAAACTCAACCACCATGAAGGCTCGTTTATCACAAACGAGAATCGACACTTTAAAAGACCAGCTCCACCACGTAAGACCTGGCATAGTGGTAACAGCTGTTTCCGTCATGAAGCTGTTAGGAATGATGTTATCAGCTCACACAGTGGTCCCGCTGGGTTTACTCCACATGAGACGCCTCCAGAGGTGGTTTGCACGTCTGTGTGTGGATCCAGTAAAACAAAAGAGACGGATGATCATTGTTCCTCCCTCCGTGAGAGTAGACCTCAGACACTGGGAAAACACCCTGGTTCTGTCGGAGAGAGTCCCCGTCAGCAGACCCACGTCACACGTGTCAGTCTTCACGGACGTGTCGTTGTCAGGCTGGGGGGGGGGACATGCCTGTCTCAAGCTGTAGGGGCACTGTGACCCCATCACACATCAGCCCACATAAATGTTTTTGGAGTGTCGCACGGTTCTGAACGTTATTCAACACTTTGCTCCTGTGCTGCAGAATCAACACGTTTTGATTCACACAGACAACAAGGTGACTGCTGCGTACATAAACCGTCAGGGAGGTGTGCGTTCAGCCCAGATGTTGCACATTGCGCGAAAGCTTCTGTGTTGGGCACACCAAAATCTGCTCTCCATCAGAGCAGTTTACATACCCGGTGTTCTGAACAAAGGGGCAGATGTGATGTCCAGGGGCGGCCCATGTCACGGGGACTGGACTCTCCATCTAGACCTGATGACTCAGACGTGGCAGGTATTTGGCAAGCAGCCGTGGACCTATTTGCAACACGAGAGAACGCTCAGTGTCAACTACGGTTTTCTCTGAGCCCGCGAGACGAACCACTGCTGGGGGTGGACGCGTTGCCCACAGCTCATGGCCCAAAACGCTTCTGTACGCGTTTCTTCCACCTCCTTTGATTTTACGGTTCTTGAACCGAGTTCAGGGGGAGGGATTGACAGCTCTCCTGGTGGCCCCCGAGCGCGTGAACGCACCATGGTTCCCAGTCCTGCGGCATCTACTGTCGGGGCACCCGTGGAAACTGCTGTGGAGGAAGGATGCTCTCCCAGGCAGGAAGAGCGGTCGGGACTTACCCAGAAATAGGCCAACACCTGTAGGTCTGGCCGCTGAACGGATCCGCTTAGAGAGGGTGGGTCTCCCACAGGATGTAGTGCGCACAATTCAGGTTTCACGTGCTGCATCTACCACAGCGCTGTACACATCAAGTGAACAGTTTTTCAGCGCTGGTGTACAGAGAAAGGTGTAGAGGCCACCTCATGTCCACTAGGTGGCATGCTGTCCTTTCTACAACAGCTGATGGACAGAAATTTGGCGTCCAGCACGATTAAAACGTACGCTGCAGCCATCTCTTCCTGCCACGAATGGTTCGGAGACAGAACAGGTTTTAATCATCCGCTGATGAAGCATTTTCTAAAAGGTTACAAAGACGCAGGCCTGTTTCTTGCCCACTTGTTCCACAGTGGGATTTAACGCTGGTCCTGCGAGCCCTGATCAAAGCTCCATTTGAGCCTCTGGATCAGGTCCCACTTAAATTCTTGTCTCTTAAAACAGTCCTGCTGCTGGTTTTAACATCCGCTAAGAGAGTGAGTGATTCATCTGCCCTCTCTGCCGCTCCGTCATGTCTCAGAATTCAGGCTGACGGCAGCTCAGCTGATCGAAGACCAAACCCAGCTTTTATGCCTAAAAACATCACGAGCTCTTTTAAATCGAGTGATATCGTTGGAGGGGCCCCCCCCCCCCCCTTCACACACAGAACAGAAGAAGTAGCGTCTTTTTATCTCCTCTGTCCTGTGCGGGCGTTGACGTGTTACATAGCGTGCACAGCTGCAAAGCGTCAACACTTGTTTGTGCATTATGGAGATGCATCTGCAGGTCGACCGTTATCCACCCAGCGCTTGTCACACCGGCTGTGTGAGGCCTCTTTCTGAAGCCTACAGAGCATCAGATTTAGAGCCTCCTGTCAACCTCAGAGCACACTCGACCAGGGGTATCGCATCTTCGACTGCTCTGCATAATGGTATGTCAATGCAGGACATTTGCACTGTGGCCGCATGGTCAACACCCTGCTCATTCATTCGCTTTTATCTACGTGATGTGACAGCTCGTTCCATGACACATTCTGTCTTTAGTGTTTTACAGAATGAATATTGTTGTTTCATGGAACTCTGTCTTACTCACATCTGTCTGCATGCATTACAGTGTGAGATGGTTGGTATCGGTCACAAGTTGTGATTATTTTGGTTCTATTGTCACTAATCAGTTCATGACTATTTTTACCAATCAGTTCATTGATTAATAATCAGTTCATTTGTTATTATCTATCTGTTCATACTGTTCAGCTGTAAACCGGTTGGTTCATGGCTCTTTTCAGCTTTTTTCCCTCCCCGTTGAAGTTTTCCGGGGCGTTCATGCATTCAGAACTCATAGTTACACAACATGCGTCTGTGCATGGCACACATAATTACGCACATGGGGAGCTGAGTGACAAGACGTTTTTTGGGCAAGCTTCTGCTTCATACGGTGTTCGAATGGACCCAGTGAGGCGAGGACCACATCTGCTTCGCCCTTAACCCATCAGCGACAGCCTTAAAGGGCGAAGCTTATACGAAATAGAACGTTGGTTACGTACTGTAACCCCAGATTCTATGAGTATAGGCGTAGCCCTTTAAGCGTCGGGCCTCACTGGCTCCTGAATGGCTGAAGAAAAAGCTATTTGGGAGCCGATTACCTGCTCTTAACGTAATTTATATGGACCGGGTGGGGCCCACACAGCAGGTGGGCGTGGACTAAATTTTTCAGTGCAATGCTTCGCATATCGGGATAAAACCCATCAGCGACAGCCTTAAAGGGCTACGCTTATACTCATAGAACCTGGGGTTACAGTACGTAACCAACGTTTGCTCTTCACCCACAGTGGCAGCCCAGTAACATACAACCTTAAATCCTGGTTATTATTCTACATAATTTGGTCTGCTGCAGACACTCACTATAACCATTTGTTTACTACATGATACATTTACTCATGACTTTAAAATACATGTTTAATAGTAAAATAAAAAAAATAAAATTTGGACTATCACATGCAGTTTATGATCAAAGTATAGCTTGATGTAGTCCTCATATGTGGACCTTCTCACCTCTTGTGAACTCCAGTTGTTCCTGCGATGGAGCTGAAGCCCAACGCCGGCAGCGACAGAGCGTTTGTGTGGAACACATTAGCAGATTATGCTGACGAGTGCCCCAAACAGGAACTCCTGGCAATACGCTTTTTAAATGCAGAAAGTAGGTGCTGACACACGTAATCCAATGTCGCACATAAAGCTGCCCACACTCAATTACTTTTGCTCAGAAGTTGTATTTTCTTTCTACAGATGCTCAGAAGTTCAAAATGAAGTTTGATGAGTGCAAGGAGGAGGTCAGAAAAATCCTAGAGAAATCAGGTAAATAAAGTATTTTATTTTAATAGTTGTTTAAAACTTTGATCTGATCTCAGTAGATCTTTGCTGAGATATAAACATGTAACTTCAGGTTAAACTGCAATAATTTCAAACTTTAATTGACAAATGTTCATAAGAGTTTTGTCGTAACCCACTAAATAAACAGTTCTGAGTGAGGAAAAAATTATGTTTATAATGTAAAACTATGTGTAGCATTAGCATGACGTTTTGAGAGCTTGCAGACATACTCAAGTCTTTGCTGTACACTCCAGCTTGGGGCTTTTTCTGTCTGCTACATGAACACGCAGAATGTAACACTGCTGGCTTTACAAGAAGGCCAGTGTCCGCATGTTCTGCTACATTAGATTTGTTGCCAGATGTTGCTTCTGACATTCTTAGCTTTGTTTTGGATGGAAATGAACAAATGCTGGTGTGATTGTGTGATAATCTTAATATCTAGCTTATGGGATGGCACATTTTTACACAGGTGATGCTGAGAGTGCGGATAAGGTGGTTGAGAAGCTGGGAGATCTATCCGTTAGAGACAAGGCATCAGAGGAAAAGAAAGAAGAGAACAAAAAGAAAGAAGATGAGAAAAAGGAGGTGAAAGCTGAGAAGAATTAAAAACCAAGAACTTGCTTTGCTGATCTTCAGTTTATCTTTTTTTTCCTCTTCCTACAATAGACTCTTAAGGAACTGAATTTGGACACTTGCATAATGTTTTTTTCTATTTTTTTTTAAATCCGTTTTGCCTCAAGATTACAAGTCTTTGATGCCACTGGGGAAAAATATCAGCAAAAGTGTAAACAGCAAAAAACATGCTTCCTCCCACCTTTTTCTCTTAGCACAATGGAAAACCACATTTTTCCATTTTTGTCATTGAAAGTTACTATTGACAAACTGTGAAGAGGCTTGTGATAGTGATAATTCCCACATTGGGGTATTTTTTTGTTTTTTGTTTGCTCTTCTGAAGCGAAGTTTGTAGTGGGAGGATAATGTAGCCTGCTCATTAGCAGCACACAGTCAGGGACCAGGCATTATGGAGGTGCTTTATAAAGATGGAATGAAACCTGTGAGGCATCTCGGTGGGCCTTCAAACCCTGTCCACACTTCTACTGTTAGATTACAAGGTGAAGACTTCTCAGTGGGTGCGTTGTAGAGCTAGTTGTTTCTTGGTTCCCTCTTTATGCAGGTCTAATGGTAGCTGACCTGCGAGGAATCCACTCCAGACAGTTGAAAGGCGACAGACAGGTCAAAATATTCACTTCTAGCTTACTGACAGAAATGCACTTGCTAAAAATGTCATATTTCCTTTTAAGTGTCTCAAAACGAATAAGCCCAAAGTAAACGGTTCATCAGTTTGGTGCAGCTTTTTTCTTTCTCACCCAAGTTTTTCACCATGAGATCAGGTTTGCATTCTTTAGATCCTAACATTCCCAGACTTAAAAGCATGTAGAGTTTATGTAATGGAGTGTGCCCCATCTAATCTGTGTGCTCACCACCCACTCCTTTCCATCCTGGACTCATAAGTGCATCTAAGTGCCAGTGCATCTGTAAATACATGTGTATGGATGAAATGTTGCTCTTCATTTGCACTCGGATGATCTGAAATGTTTCTTCCAACTTCAAATAAACCTGAAAGACCGTAGGCTTGGATTCATATGACATCACTTCCTCGAAGCTGCGTTAAAAAGATATTGACTGATGAACATGAAGAATAAAACGGATTCACTCAAAGTTGTAAAGTTTATTTAGTTTGCTCAGTTCGCTGGGAATATTTCCTCTTCACAAAAATAGGAACACATATACAGTCAATGCATTCTGTATTGTACATAACTGGTTTCAGAAAACAAAGTCAGCTTGTGGCTGGTAGTCAGAAACTGTCAGGAATGGCCTCTGACCTGCAGTGATATCCATCCTAAAAAAGAAACAACAGACTAATGGCAGTCATCTTAAGGAGGAATGACATCGATTGCATTTTGATTTGTGATCCAACGAGTTGGAGAGAAACACGGATATCAAGGGTCTGTCGGCATTTCAAGATGTCCTGTTGGTTTGCCTCACCCATCGAGCCTTTTTTATTGCAGCCTTGCAACAAACGTGGTAAGGCAGCTGGGTGACCCAGGTGTGAACGTCAACACTTTAAAATGCCAGGCTTGTGTAAGAAATTAAATCCTTCAAAACTTTCACATTTAATGTGACGTGTAAAAAGAAAACGTTTCATGGGGACAAAGGTAAACCAAAAAGATGCAGTAAGTTGGTTGCAGAACTATGCACACCCTTTTAATTGAAGCATTTTTTGATTCAATACAAAAGTCAGTCTCTTAGGACATGCATGCCTAAAGTGGTCAACCTGAAATAAGTTTAGCTGTTCTGGAAGGTTTTTCTGATACCCAGTCGCATCCAACCTCAGAATGTGATTCACAGGGAGATCAAACGGTTACAGAAACGTCCTCAGCATTAGATATCTCAAATCGAAGGCAGTCATCAAGAAGTGGAGAAAATCTGGAACAGTGATGTTGAGAATTGAACGTCCCTCCAAAAATTGAATTTACATCTTTTTCAGAAATGGATCCTGTTTAAGTGAACACTAGAAAACACCTTTTACTGCGACTTTCCTTCCCTCCATTGATTATGGTGACATTATTTACATGAACGCTCCTACAAGAACCCTGCAGATGTTGGATCCTGTCTATCATGGTGCACTAAGATTCATAACTGGTTGTAACTATCGTACCCATCACTGCACCCTGTATGTAACTGGTCAACTTCACGCAGACTCCCACTGGTACATTTTCATCCTTAAATCACTTCTTGGTCTGCTGCCTTCATACATCTGCATGAGTGCAGCTACAGCGTGCCCGTTCTGGACATTATTACCTTCAGTGTCCCCTCAGTGTGGACTGAACTTGCAAAAAGATCTGAAACTCTTGATCTCTAAGGGATTTTAAACAACTGCAGAATTGAAAACAGGCTTACAAAGTTATGAAGCTCTGGTCATCTACTAAAGCTTTTCAGACAGGCGAGGTCAGCACAACCTATGCTTCACAGATCTGAAGCGTCAGGAGTTCAGTTGTGCAGGCTCCTTTCTGAGTAGACCAAGACTCTTCACACACATGGTTCAGTAATTTAACATTAGTAAACTACATCCATGACTTTTACATAAATCCCCCTTACAAAAACCAATGCATATGTTTGTTTTTAGTATTTTACACCGCTTTATAATGTAGCTGTTTTTGTTTGTTTCGTTTTTATAATTTTTTCTAGTTTTAATTTTACCGGTATATGTTTTTTATATGATTGTCTACTGTTGTCTGTACCTCATCTGTGTTCTTTGTTTAAAACAGGTCTCTCTTGTAAACGAGTCCTTGAGGCTCAATGGGAATAACCTAAATAAAAGTAGAATGATTGAATAAAAACAGGTGGACACTGGTCAGGGGGAGCTGCAGCAACACACGAGGAGCTACAGGAAGTTCTCCACGTCTTGATTATGAAGTAGGGATGTGAAAAATTACCAACATCTAGCAAAAACTAAAGAAGTTTCCCCAAAACAAACAAAAACGTGACTTTCTAGTCCACAGTTCCAAAAGATTATAAAAAAGACCATACCCACAGTGAAACATGATGGTGGCAGCATCATGATGTGGGGTTGCAGTCAGGATGGGTGAAATAAACACCGATACAGTACGTTTTTTCCTTTGAACTAAAAACTTTCAGGTTTGCTAGAAAGCGAGAGTAATTTAGTTTCTCAGTGTATATGACCCCAGTCACATTCAAATCAACAAGAGAATGTCTTCACTAAAAAATAAAGTTTAAATGTGTGCACATTAATGTAACCAGTTTATTGCATCTTTAATGTTGGCTTCATTAAAAGTACAAGATAAATAAATGCCACATGACAGATGGAAAAAGTTTAGAAATTATTTTAAGTACATTTTCCTTTTTGGTGGCATTCACTGACTTAGCACCTTCCAAATGAAACAAGACTATCACAAAGAAATAAAACAGATTTTTTTAAAACAATAATAAAAAATTCAAATAGCGACGAGATTTCAAAACTTGCAACAATTCATTTAACTGCAAATATAAACTATATTTTAGGTTCACCCAGTCCAAAAGTCACATCCTGCTCAATACAAAACACTAATGATATTGCATTGTCCCTTAAGTGTATGACAGTGTTTCAGACACACTTCGTTGTGTAAGAAACCACTTTTCTTCTCAAAAGGCAACAATGGTTTTATTCAGAATGCAAGTGTATGGACATAATGCAAACAAATATTACATCGAGCTCGTTCTGTCCACTGGTTTTTAATTCTAATTGTTAAATTAGCATACGCTTGGACACTTGACTGCAAAGGAAAAGCATCAGAAAACGATACCCGAGCTGTACCAGACAGCTACTTCAAGCAGCTTTTCATTTTCACTCAGCGCTGACGTCAGCTTAACAGATAAATGGTGTGTGTGTGTGTAATCCTCAACTTGCATTTAGTTGTTTCTTTGTGGACGATTTGTCGTTGCACTCATCAAATTATCACAAATTTGATCATCTCCACAACACGAAGTATCACGTCACTTGTTTTACACAACAAAATAAAATATTTATATTTAGTTACCCTTTAGGTTAGATTTGATTTGTTTAGCCACAAATTTTATATTTATGAAAAAAAACAAAAAAAAACAGCATCCATTCCTGGCTTAGCATGTTTTATAAAAAATAAGTTGTCAAATGCAGCTTTCGATTACGTAAACAAAAACCCTACAACCTATAAAAACCTTTTTTTTTTTTGTGTTTCGTTTTTTTATTACATATTTTAACACCCTTTCATCGGTATAATTAAAACCCAATCTCGTACTAACCATTTGTTTCTTTTTCACAAAACTTAGTTTTTGGGGGATTTGCAAGGCTGGACTTGTTCTGGAGAAATAAAGATGAGGTATTCTGGTCTCTCAGAACACAGATATATATATATATATATATATATATATATATATAATATATAATATATATGAGTCTTGCTCTTGTATGTATTGAAATATCAGAAAACAAAGGCGTATGGTTCAACAGCCTCCTTTATGGGGGTGATAAAGGGGGGGAGGCTAATAAAGGCCTAAAATCAAGCCCTAAAAATCTGTGAACATCAACAAAGGACATTCAAAAACATGAATCCATGTCAACAAGCAGCTCTGCTGGTTGCATTAATTCCTGAGGAAAACATTTATATTTTTAAACAAAGATAAATTTAGCTTCTCTTCAATAAAAAGCTCGTTTCTCATGGAAATTAGAATGCAACCACCAGACACGACTACATGGCTTTCACCTTGGTACCCTTCTCGCGTGTTTTCCACACCCGCCCAGCGTTCTCACAGCTGTAAACTTCCATCACACATGCCAAAGACGACATGAACAGTACGAGTTAAAGAGAAGCACCTTGGATTCTTGGTCAGCTGACCGTCTTCCCACAGAGGTTCATGATGAGGATGATGGTGTTCAATCCACCCAAAACATTTTTTTGTTCACCTCAGTCTTTACTGGAGTAGGTTGTTCCAAATTGTCTGATAGGAAAACTTCACGAAGAGCTGAGAGACACAGACAATATTGTTGGACTTTTCATTCCTACTACCAAGACGACGGGTCACAGACATTTTAACAACACATACAGCACAGTCCGTGGCGTTAACGGGAAACCTCCTTTAGTAGGGATCCACTCGGACTCACCAGACACAAGAACGGTCTTATTCTCTGATCGAACTGTAAAAACAAAATAAAACCAAGCCCCTTACTGCCTGTTGTGTTGTTAAAAAGGTCAGAGAGGGTTTTTGTAGCAGGGTGGTGTGGTTAAAGGTGGAGGTGTCCTTGCTCACACGGATATTTCATATGTGGTACCTCCTACACCTGTCACCTTTTTGACGTTACTGTGGCGACTGGGGCTGAGGGGGGCACCCTGGGTGCTCAGGTGGCAGTCCATCTGCCCATTAACTTTCATGGCCTCTCTGATTGGAAAGAGAAGAACAAGAGAACATGATTCAACAAAAGAGCCAGAGAGCTTCCACACAAAGCGAACAATAAGAGCTGTGGAAACATGCAGGTTACACTGTTTGAAATGATAAAAAGACTACAACCACGTGGATGATTATTTTAATGTTAGTGGAAAAACAGGTTTGAGAAGTTTCATGAGAAGGTGAAAAGCATGCAAATGGAAAATAAATGAGGAGTCGTACTAATTTATTTAACTGACATTTGTGAAATAATACAAATATATTTTTTCTAGTAAAGGCAAACATTCAAATCATAACATGTGCAGATCCAAACCAGACAAAACATGAATAAATAAACAGAAAGACGAGCTGAACAAATATAAAACCATATACAGATGCTACATGTTGCCTCAGTTAGACATAATACACCAGAACAATTACTGGCTGTGTTAAGAAGAAAGAAAGTTCCCAGTGGGAATATAGTCAATGCCCACCAGTTCCCAGTATTTCACTACAGTGCATGCAGTCCCCCCAGGGTAATGTCAGGATTCATACCTTGGGCCCCCTAGCCGAGGCGAGTCTGTCCTCTCATGAGCACTGATGTAGGAGAGTTTCTGGTGAGAGTAGGAGGGGGAGCGGGGCTGGTGGGCTGGGGAGCGATAGGAGCCCTCATGGCCTGGGGCCCTGCTCTGGCTGCTGTTAGTGCTACTGTGATCAGTATGCAAGGAGGTGGATGAAGTCCGAGGGGCGCGGCCCAGAGTGGAACCTGCATGCCGCAACACAGGGGTTCGTTGTCCATAGCTCACCAACCCAACTCCCATCAAGTTGTCCCTAGAGCCTCCATAGGTCGGGGGTGTTGGGCCCCTTGAGCCTGGGCCACGTGACCCATCTGGGAAGCAAGCCGTGGTGGGTAGACCATAACCCCCATCAAACACGCCAGAGTCCTGGGCATAGATATGGGTCTGGGAGCGCCCATGAAGCATCTGCCGCTTCTCCCTCTCCTCCATCTCCTTTCGTTCCTGGATGGAGGCCATGATGGTCTGGGAGAGGTTATCGTAGCGTACTGGAGATGGGTCTCTGTCCCTGAGGTGAGGGGATTGTCTGCCCATCCCCCTGGGGGGCATCACTGGACTATAGGTTTGGGCAACTTGCGGTCTATGTATTTCAGGTTCCCGGATGTGGCACATTTTGGTGGGCAGGTAGGGTGAATGGAATCCTATGGAGGGCATACCACGGTGGGCCATGCACTCATTGGCACTGGCTGGGGAGATGCTGGGGTTGAGAAGGCTGTCATAAGACAGGCTGCCATTACGGTTGGAGCGAGTGTTTGGGGAGAAGACTCCCTTGTATGGGGTGGAAGAAACCGTCTGGGGTGGCATTGCCTGGAGCTGGCCCTTCTCTAGCCGACGGTGGCCTTGCTTCAGGCTGAGAGAGCGGGAGTTGATGGGATCAGAGTCCAGTTGATAAGGTGAGGACTGGAAGGAGCGGTGAAGAGGAGCGTTGGCGTACTCAGGCAGATCCAAGTTTGGCTCCGATCGGTAGTCGTGACCACGCACACCTTCTTCCAAGATAGCTGAATCCTTTCGGTCATCTGACATAACAATCTGAGGAGCAAAGAAGTTAGGATCTATAAATAAAATCACTTGACAATGTTCCTCATATAGAAAGTGTCAAAAAGCCTTTCTTCTGACCTTATCTCCAGCAGTGTGGTACTGGACTTTAGGCATGGTGCCAAAGGATGGCCTGAATTTGTACATGGTTGGAGTGGAGGGGTGGGTTTTTCCAGAAAGAGAACTTTCTATATAAAATACCACAAATTAAGAAAAAAATAAAATGATGAATAGGTTAAACATTGCATAACAAGGAGTCTGAAATAACTGCAGATCTCTAAGGTACCTACAGGCGGCAGCAGCGACCTGTGGATCAGCTTAAGGCGTTCACTCCCTGACATAATGCAGCATTACACAGGATCCTCAGGAGGGAACCTAGTGTTACTTCATACATTACTGACACTTCATACTACTGAATAAAAATGTACCATTAGCTTTAAAACACAGTGTGCTCCTAATTCACAAAGATTTTCTCAACCTTTTCACCTCCCATCCTTCACTACATACAGTACCACTGGAGGAAAGGCTGTGATTCACAATGGTTCACTTTGAAATTATTCCACAGATCAGCAGATTCACAGTAGGTTTTGACTCGTCACTAAAGATCACGCTTATTGTCTGGCCAGGTGTCAAAAAGACCCTCGCTGGCTCTCGTAATCAAAGATCATGACTGTTGCAACATGCCAATTCAAAACTGAGACACCAGTGATCTACAGAGGAGGTTTTGGCAAATTGACCTTGACAACAAAAGAGAAACATGGCTGATGATGTTTGTCAGGAAGGAAAGGTGTGATGGGGGTCTCACCTTCACTGGAGTTCAGTTGGTTTTTCAGCTGGTTGTACCTTTCAGCCTTGGGTGGCAGGGGTGGCTGGGTTTCTTTGCTGTCCAGACCATCAATGCTGCTTTTGGACTACAAGAAGGAGAGAAGGATGCTAAAAGCAAGCAGAACAGGTGGGAGAATGGCACAGAGAGGACCATCTGTTGTTGTTAAGGATATACTGAACCGTCTCACACAGAGGGCCGTAAAGAGGAAAGGCTAAACTTGGTAATTGTTCTGCATAGGCTTGTACATGTTGTTTTTAGAGGCTAAAGAACAAAAAAAGCTAATTTTTCCTCCCACTTAAAAGAGTATTCCACTAATCAAGGTGTGCACGTTTGTGAGGGACGAGCAAACTACAAAAATCTAGTCCAAACATCTAAACAGGAAGTATTCAGACCAACCTAAAGCATCACTTAACATTTTAACATCCACTTCTTAGGCATCTTTTACAAAGATAAAACTATTTGCTGTCAAATTGGTGCATATTTCCTTCATTTTAAATATATAACAATAATAAATCTGTAAGCTGCAAAAAAAGTAGGTCATATCTAAATGTAGACAATAGAAAATATGTTTAGATAGAAAAAAATCCTTTGAAGAATGTTTGAAGTGTGACTCACTCGCTGGATAGATTGTTCTTTCAGTCCTCTGCTCCCTGTCCCCCATAATTCCTGCTTTATATCCTGTACAAAAAGCTATTAAAGGACAAAATGTCCCCTCCAGCCTCAGTCACATACACTCTGACCGCTGGGGCAAATAATAATGAGGGATTTATTAGATTATTTACAGCCCAGATTGTTGTATATACTCATACGAGCAACTGACTGATTATCTGAATTAAAGGCCTAGCATTTCTCGAAGAACTGTCCTTTAGGTCTCGAGTTTGTCACTCACAGTTTCAGCAAACTATGGCTCCTTTTCCAAATTTTCTTCACAGCAAGACAACAGACTCAAAAGTCTTTTTTTTAAATGAGCTTTCTTTGGAAGAGATTCTCTCTTTAGTTATTTTGTGAGCCTCGGCAGAACACTACAAAACAAACTGGTGCCCAGGCAGCCAACAGAAACAGATGGTAGCCCGAGAACTAAAACCATTAAACCAAAACATTATTCCTTTGCCTCTGAATTCAGCCAAGGACTTTATATAGACTACAATTATATCCTTTCTGGGTCAACAGTCGTCCCATTCCTTATCCCCTATCTGAGTCATTTGTTTTATGAAGTCAAGATTCTAATAATACGTTGCTGTAGCTGAAATGCTTTAATATAAATGACTTTAGTGAGCTAGTCTTGGTCCAGCCCATAAAAAAAAAAGGTTAGAACAAACAGCTACAAATGAACCAAACGTGTGTCAGAAACTCACTGATGGGACGACGTGTGTGAGGGCTGCGGTCATTGTGAGCTGCTCACCTTGGAGTTGATTATTGTGCTGTGGATCCCGTTGCCGCTGACCTTGATGGTGATTTGCCGGTCTGAGAGGTCAGGTCTGATGAAGGGGGGCTGGATTTTGATGTGGGGCTTTTTCCGGGGGTCCATCACATATCTAGAAACATTTTAAATCTTATGAACAACTAGACTTTATTATTAGTCCACATGATTTTTATTTGACATTTACTGAACTTCATGCTTCATTTAGTCAGTGTTTGTCTCTGAATGTAATTTCATTCAACCTTTATTTATACAGGTTAGTCTCCTTGAGCCTCGAGGACTCATTTACAAGAGAGACCTGAGAGATTATATATATATATATAATACAATAGGGCAGCACGGTGGCGCAACTGGTAGAGCTGCTGCCTCTCAGCGAACAGGTCCCTGGTTCAAACCCCGGTCCAGGGGCCTTCTGGGTGGAGTTTGCATGTTCTCTCCGTGCATGCGTGGGTTTTCTCCGGGTGCTCCGGTTTCCTCCCACAGACCAAAAACATGCATGTTAGGCTGATTGGTAACTCTAAATTGTCCCTAGGTGTGAGTGAGAGAGTGAATGGTTGTTTGTCTTGTTTGTCTCTATGTGTCCCTGTGATGGACTTGCGACCCGTCCAGGGTGTACCCCGCCCCTCGCACAGTGATTGCTGGACATGGGCACCAGCGACCCCCGTGACCCAAAATGGAATAAACGGGTAAAGATAATGGATGGATGGATGGATATAATACAATACATACAGTACATATAATACATTTCTAAACAGTGTTCATGGCAAGCACTGGGATTTCTTTGTTTAGTTAAAAGTCTAGCATTCCTTAAAGAGAATGCAATCTGCCACCTTATTCAAGAGTAAATACAAAGATCATCTTTTATCAAGAAATGATAAAGAAGAAATGATGACGATGTAGGCATTTTGGTCAAACCATGAAAATAACATTACATATGTGAAATAATACACAATCTTATGGTGTCTGTGAATGACTGTCAGTTACTACCACATCAAAGGACGGCTCAGTATTAGACATTTTGTATTGACTATGGTCAAGCTGCCGTACGTCTTTACCTTTTAGCAGCGGCTGATCATTAGATAGCCATGGGAACCAGAAAGTCCACCATTTTTCCATTCTAAGGTTTTATGTATTAGTCCCTAATAAAAATGATCAGACCTTTATCTGGTTTTAAAATGATTCGAAACATCACAGGTTTGCTGCAAGATTTTAAACAATATTCAGCATCACTCCCTGACAGACCAGGCAAACATGTGGCTCAGATCAAAACACCAAAGTCAATAATCCAGGTAAAAATCCAACAACGTTCAGTCAGGTCATCCGGATGGTTTCTTTTGTTGCTGAAACGTCCTTCATCCAAAGGACTTCTTCAATCGGAGGAGCCACCAAACAAACTGATTCCCACAAACAGCTCACTCCACAGTGGAAAAAAACATCTCGGCAAAAAAAAGAAAGAAACCGTCCAGATGACCCGACTGAACATTGTTGGATGTGGGTCAGTGGTTCAGTGCATCTAAAACTCTCCAGCGTCAACCTGACAGCAGATGTGAAGAACACTCTCCCACGTGTCGTCCTCTCTGTGATGTTTTTTTTCATAGATTAGGACTACCGGTAGTTTAAATAAGAGTTTAAACTTCATCATGCTTTAGTGGCTCATGTCATCTACTACTGTTTCCTGTTGCTAGTTGGTCATAGAGGCAGTCGGTTCTTTTAGCCACCTGCTTCCCCACAGGGTTGCTGGCTGCTTTCACACAGACGTGGATTTACAGTACAGCTCTGCAACCAGCTAAGAGCATGTGCATGCACTCAGTACGGTCTGTGCTGTCCTTGCAGTGTTTGGGTGGGGCAACTGTGTGAATGTCAGAACCTCTGGTTGGCCACCAACCTACTGCACGTATAAGCATTCATCTGCATTCACGTTATTCCCAAAGAAAAAACCTGGATGTCAGCAGCAGAGTATCTTACCTGGGTGCCTGGGGACTACATAAGACATACTCCACGTTGCCACAGCAACCCTTGGTGAAAGGATTTACTCCTCCACGAAACTTGCCCGTCACCTGAAGAACACGGTGTGTTGTTTAGAGCCGACAGCAAAAGCACAAGGCCGTGACGCACACTCACACAAACGTACAGGGTCGATGCACGAATACAGAAGAGAGTGATCAAAAAACAAGACAGGATTTCTGCTGGTCTTTACCATTTGTGTTACTTCCTAAAATGTTTGTTCACCATCTTTACACAACTAAATTTATTTTAAAAAGGACTTTTGAAATATTTTATTGTGTGTAAATTTCAACACAAAGCAATTTTTCATCTCCCTCACCTGTTCATTGGTTGTTCTCCCTCGAGCTACGAGCACCATGTGGAAACCTGTGAGGCCCATAACTGGAATAAAGAAAAGCCCTGTGATGCACATCACCACCATGCTGGGTACAAATGTTACGTTAAGAAAACAACAAAGTACTGGTATGGACATGCCAGTTTACTGGTTATGTCCAAATGTTAATGTTTCTACTACAACAGCTGTGTAAAAATGTGTAAAACAAAGCACAGAAATGTTACTGTCTGTAAAATACAGCATGAATGCTGAGTTGAGTTGTTAAAACTAAAAGAAGCAAAACACCAACTATAAGCTAAATGACGGAAAATGCTCATTAAAAGAAGCAGGACACTAGTTCTTCTTTCAGCTTTTCTCTCTTCAGGGTCTCCACAGCAAGTCATCCTCCTCCATCTCACTTTGTCCTCACTCCAACTACTCCATGTCCTCTCTAACTGCATCCATGTATCTCCTCTTTGTCTTTTTCCTGGCAGCTGCATTTCTAACATCCTTCTACCAGTATACCTACTGTCCCTCCTCTGGACATGTCCAAACCATCTCAGTCTGGTCTCTCTAACTTCATCTCCCAGTTGTTCAACCTGTGCTGTACCTCTGATGATCTCATTCTTAATCTTATCCATCCTTGTCGGAGAACCTCAACATCTTCATTTCTGCTACTTCCAGTTCTTCTGTCTTTTTGTCCATGTCTCTGTCTCCAGATCATACAATATAGCTGGTCTCACCACTGTCTTGTAACTTTTTCCTTTGAACTTTGCTGACAGTCTTTTGTCACAAATCACTCCTGAAACTTTTATCTATACACTCCATCCTGCCTGGACTCTCTTTTCACCTCTTTACCACATTCCCAATTTTCTTGGACAGTGGACACCAAGTACTTGAAGTCCTGCACCTTTGTGACCTCTGCTCCTTGTAGCCTCACTGTTCCACTTCCTCCCTCTCATTCACACACATGTACTCTGTCTAACTACGACTGACTTTCATTCCTCTTCTTTTAAGTGCATACCTCCACCTCTTCAAGTTCTCTTCCACCTGTTCCCTGTTCTCACCACAGATCACATCATCTGCAAACATCATCGTCCACGGGGATTCCTGCCTGACCTCATCTGTTAGTCGGTCCATCACCAGAGCAAACAAGAAGGGGCTCAGAGCTGAAACTTCAAGTCAAGCAGGACACTAGCTAAACACAGCTAAAAGCTAAAGGCAGAAAATTGCTATCTAAAAGAAGCAGGATTGTAGCTCAAAGCTAAAAGGAGCAAAACACTAGCTAAATAGCTAAAAGAAATAAATGCTAACTAAAAGACGCAGAATACCAACTCAAAGCTAAATGGAGCTGAAAACTAGCCAAAAGCTAAAGGGAGCAAAACATTAGCTTAAAGCTAAAATAAGTTAAATGCTGGCTTAAAAACAAAAGTTTAAACAAACTCTCGCTAAATTTCAAATGTAACAAATTGCCATTTAAAATAAAAGTAGCAGAACAATAGCAAAAACTAAAAGTAGTATAAGGCATAAAATAGCTAGTATACTGAAGCAGATTTTAAAGAGACAAATGTTTGTTTGTTTGTTTGTTTATTTGTTTTTTATGGCGAACATATTTGTAAAATTAAATATTTTAAAATGTATAAAAGTTACAAAACTAAAAGTTGTTGCACTGCTCTTCTGAATGAGTTGTTGGTTTGATATATTTAAGAATGGCTGAAAATAGCACAAAGTATGCAGAAACGTTAAACCACAAAAAAACCTACTGAAAACAAACAAACAAACAAAGAACAGGACAGCCCATGAGTAAATGCTGACTCAGCTTTCACACTGTTATTTTTTCACGGTGACAGGATACGTGACAGTGGTGTGCAGTCCTCCCAGTTTTTCTTTGTGGTGGAGGACGAAGATGAGGCCGAAGGAGAAAACTCCCACCATGTGAACACTTAATGACAGCAGGAAGAGGAAGAAGTAGCGGTAGTTCCTCCGTCCAATGCAGTTGTTCACCCAGGGACAGTGATGGTCAAAGTCCTGAGGTGGGACAGCGGGAGAGAGAGAGTTACCGACACGAGAGAAGAAAAAAAGCCCACTTCATCTGAGAGGTAGAATAAATCATATAATAAAGAACAACTGATCTATTTTAACACTGTCATATAATAATAATGACACACACACATGAAACATTTAGATTTATTGTTCTTAGTTTGGAAAAATAAATAATAAGTGACAGAAATTCTCTAAATGTCATCATACAGTCATCAACTCCGGTCAGAGTGGAAAAAAATGTGACCTGCAGTTCAGGTAGGACAATAAGAACAGCTGTGGTCAAAAATTAAAAGACCTACAAATAATTGAAGTAAACGTAAGAAAAAGCTAAGAAAGTGAGGAATAAATCAGAAATGAGAGCTGTTAGTAATCTTTTCAACAGATGTGTGAATCATGAAGAGGTTATGTTTTGTAACAACCCCAGTGACTCTGAAGCTGTTTTTAATTAAACTCTAGATTCTGAATCAAATCAAAAGAAGAAGTTAACCTGGAAGCAGATCTTAAGATAATAGTCCTCAGAGCAAACGCAAAACTATTCTCTATATGAGACCACCGAGCTACCACAGCCCTCTGTGTGGAGCAGAGAGCTGCCATCTAGGGCACCCAGGAGAGCAGATGGTGGGGGTTAGGGCCTTGCTCAAGGGCCCAGATTGGGGCAGATGAGGGTGGAGGCAGGTGTGGGTCTTGCAACTTTTCCAAACACATTTTGATGATGTGGGCCTGGGGAGTCGAACCACCGACCTTTCTATTACAGGCCTACCTTCTCTAACCTCTGCACCACCAAGAAAAAAAAAAAAAAAAAAAAAAAAAAATATATATATATATATATATATATATATATATATATAAATTTTTGACGGAATGATCCAATTTTCGATATTGACCTTTCTTATGCCTAGATGCAACCACACACCAAAATGCAAGTCAGTACCTCCCTTTCTTTTTAAGGTATCCAGCTCACAGGTTGGACGGACGGACGGAGTGTATTTGTGATTGCTCTCTTGGCTCCGTGATGGGGACAAAAGGCACTTTATGTTCTAATGCAACATGTGGGTGATCCGGCCTGTGTTGGACTTTTTAACATCATCTTCTGCTTAACGGTTTTCACTCGTAAAAGTTAGGATTAATTACTGTTTTTTTAATTTAATAAATACCTTCTTATATATAAAAACTGTTTCTAATACTAAGATTGCAAAACCAAACAAAAGCAGCATCAACAGCTACTCTGGCAGCCAAACATTTATCGGAGTCGGAGTTTTTTTTATTGCTGTTCCACCCCATGTGGTACATGAGGTGGAACGAGATTATGTACACAGGGTCCCAGTTACATCCAACAATAAAATGTAAAAGAAAAACAGTAATAACATCTAAGATATGAACTAAGAAAAACATCAACTAAATATACACTAAGCACTAATAGCATGAAAACAATACGCTGAACAGCAGCACTAACATGAGTCGTGTGAGCAGATGAGTATGAATGAACACAGCAACATGAAACAGATCAGCAGCAACATGAAACAGATCAGCAGCAACATGATGTGATTTTTCACAGTGATTATTCTGGTTAGAGATTCATGAGTGTAACAGCCTCAGGGTAGAAGCTGTTCCTCAGTCTAGTAGTTCTACACTTAATGCTCCTCAACCTCCTTCCTGAGGAGAGCGGGGCAAAAAGTGTGTGCTGGGTGAGTGGGGTCCTTCTGTGTAAGTACTAACAAATTACATCCTTGTAGAATCATTCACCTTTTTTTGTTGTTGAGGACCATCTCTAAAAAAACCAACAACCCCCAAACAAACTAAACAAAAGATAAAACATGAAGCAGAAACACGGTTTGTATATTCATCTTGTACTGTACCATTTTATTTATAAAGCACTTTAAACAGCGACAGGGCCAACCAAAGTGCTGTACAGACAGAAACAAACAGGCAGAACACACAGCAACACATAACATAACGTAAAATTTAAATATTGAAACAAAGTAATAGCAGATAATAACATAATGACTAACACAGTGTGATGCATACAGGTTTGACACAGATCATACAGTATTGTAAGCTAGGGAATAGAAGTGGGTTTTTAAGCGGGGTTTAAAAACTGAGGGAGGGGGCCTGTCTGACAAGCAGAGGTAACTCATTCCATAGTCTTGGTCCTGCGACAGAGACGACCCTGTCACCTCTGTGCTTAAGACGAGTTCCTGGAACTGAGAGAAGCAACTGGTCCACTGACCTCAGAGAACGTGGTGAGAAAATGTCTTTAACTGTCTTACTGTATTCATCTGTACCTTTATGTTTATATACTCCCATGATCTTTTAGTTATTACTGATAATATTTTGCAATCAAAGGTGCCAAGAGCTTCTGTTCTGAAAAAAATAATCATATTTAATGCCAACTGTTTTCTTGACACAAACGACCAATTAATTATTTATTTTTAGTAGAAAAATACTTTTTTTTAAATCTCTCCCAAAGTCCCTCCCTGAGTGAGGCTATGTGTGACAAAATGTAACTATTGGGCTAACTTTCAGCCTAACCTTGGTGCATATTTGGACTGCAAACATTGTGTGTGTGTGTGTGTGTGCGCGCTCACACACCTCCACACAGTTGTCACAGACGCTGCAGTGCGAGCAGCGGGGCGGCCTGTAGAAGTGGCAGGTGGCGCACCACTTCATCCGCACCTGAATGCCTTTGATCTCCACGTTTTTGTAGAGCGGCGCTCGGAAATCGTCGTCCTTGTCCTCGTCCTCGTCGGCTGCGGGACACACACACAATCAAAGACAAACTCGTTATCAAAAGCACAGACGCACAGGATGAAGTGTGAGGAAAAAAACATTTAATTCACACGTGTGTAACGAAAGCAGGCATACAGAAATGGTTTTAATTGATGATTCTTTTGGACTGGGACTGCAGGGGGCACCCTGAATGGGAGTCACCCCCGCTGTTAGCTGTCTTTAGAGGGAGCAAACACACCGAGAGCATGTACACACACTGTTAGGACAGATACCTTCTATGGAAATAAAACTCCCACCATGACAGTGATTTTATCTGCTCTGAAGGAGAACTAAAGCATCAAAATGTGGTGTTTTCATTGTCCTTGGTGCAATCCTGCAATAAAGTTGTTCATTTCAAAATGTTCTGCGTAGAGCTGCTGCAGCAGAATATAAAAAGGTCTTTCACCTGATCAAAGGGAAGTTTGAACTTGAGAAAACAATTTCGCAGTACGAGAATAACTACAGGGAGAGCTGAGTACAGAGGCTGAACCCACACAAAGAGGTCCAAAATGAAAGAGAAACGAGAAAATGACAGAAACAAAAGGCAGAGACGCTGTCCCATAGAGGGAGACTGCCCTGTTATTACAGCACTCACACCGATTTAAATAGATTCAAAGGTGAACACCCGGCCAAACCCGCAGACACAAACAGCAGCTCCACTCCCATCTCCGCTTTCAGATTCTTTTCTACAAAAAAATCCCGCCATTAAAACAGTTTGGACTCAACTCCTGCGATACGCAGAACTTGAACAGAACTGCTGAAGGAGCTTTTCTGTGCGGCTGCTGAGTGACGACGCTGAAACTGCCAAGGAATGAATTACGAAACTGAGCTGCTCAAATTAAAACAAGCAGAACAAATTATAACATTTGCAAAACAGCAGCTAAAAGCTTTTTTCTTCTTCTTTCGGCTGCTCCCTCCTTCAGGGAACTAGGCAGTGAACTAACTCACACGAAGACTTGGCATGTGTTTTTACACCAGATGTCCTTCCTGACACAACCACAGACCACCGAGCTACCACAGCCCTCTTGAGTGGAGCAGAGCGCTGCCATCTAGGGTGCCCAGGGGAGCAGATGGTGGGGATTGAGGGCCTTGCTCAAGGGCCCAGAGTGGGGCAAATGAGGGTGGAGGCAGGTGTGGGTGTTTCACCTTTCCCACCAACATTTTGATGTTGTCGGTTCGGGGAGTTGAACCGATGACCACAGGCCCTAGAGCTGCCGTTTCTAACCTGAACCCGGAGCCCAGCCCCGCCCGACCCAGATTAGGGCCGGTCCATAATAACATGCTTAATGTGCAGGCCAGGTCGGTGTCGGGCTTTGATTGAATCAGCAGTTGACGATCCAATTACATGGTTTGCCATACAATCACCAGCTGCACGCGGCCATTTCGCTGACCGGCCTTGAAAGAGGTAAAAAGTTCAGTTAACCCAAACAGGTGAGATCACAAAATATCCGATATGTCAGAGCAGGATGCAGGCAGAATCAGGGGAAACATTTAATGCACTTTGATGGCCATGAAAGGACAAACACCCCCTCAGCTCCGAGCTTCTGCCCCTTTTATTCAGTCGTGTGTGTCGGCTGACTGTTAATCACTATAAGCAGTCAAACCTTAGTTAAAAATGTTGGGGGGGTTTCCGGGTTCAGACCTGTAATTACTGTTAATTTGTCGGATCAGGTGGGGTTCAGAAATGATGGCTACGGGCTGGGGCCGGGTCGGATTTTTTGGACCCGAATGCAACTCTAACCTTCTCTAACCTCTACGCCACCACTCCCCAAAACAGCAACTAAAAGCTAAAATTAGCTAAACTGATTTTAAAACATAGTTGGCAAATAACTGGCTAAAAGCTTCACTTTGCAAAAAGTACCGGTAGCTAAAAGCAAAAATTTGCAAAACTATAGCTAAATGCTAAAATAAAAAAAATTGTTGCTAGAAGCTAAAATTAGCTAAATAAGTAATTAGCCAAATAATTGCTAGACACAAATTAGCAAAAGCTAAAATTAAAGGAATTATATCAAAAACTATAATGAGGAAAGCTGTAGTAAAAAGCTAATGCTAGCAAACAGCAGCTAAGAGTTAAAATAGACAAAACAGTAGCAAAGAGCTAATATTAGCAAGACTGCTGCTAAAGGAGAATAAGAGTCAGAGTTTCTTTATTGTCATTCGCACCTCATGTGGTACATGTGGTGGAGCGAAATTATGTACACAAGGTCCCAGTTACATCCAACAATAAAATGTATAAGTAAAACAGTAATAACATCTAAGATATGAACTAAGAAAAACATCAACTAAATATACACCAAGCACTCATAACATAAAACATTGAACATCAGCACAAACATGAACATGAGTCTGTGAGCAGATGTGCACGCATGAACACATCAACATTGAAACAGATCAGCAGCAACATGAAACAGATCAGCAGCAGCATGAAACAGATCAGCAGCAGCCTGAAACAGATCAGCAGCAACATGATATGGTTTTTCACAGTGATTATTCTAGTTAGAGATTCATGAGTCTAACAGCCTCAGGGTAGAAGCTGTTCCTCAGTCTAGTGGTTCTACACTTAATGCTCCTCAACCTCCTTCCTGAGGGGAGTGGGGCAAAAAGTGTGTGTGCTGGGTGAGTGGGGTCCTTCATGATGCAGGTGGCTCTCTTCCTGCATCTAGAGGTGTAGATGTCTGTGATGGTGGGGAGGCTGACTCCGACAGACTTCTGTGCAGCCTTCACCACTCTCTGCAAAGCTTTTCTTTCTGCAGCTGTGCAGCCTCCATGCCACACATTGATACTGGAGCACAGGATGCTCTCCACTGCACACCTGAAGAAAGAGGTGAGGACTGAGCTTCCCAGACCAGCTCGCCTCAGCCGTCTGAGGAAGTAGAGTCTCTGATGAGCTTTCTTGATCAGGCTGGTGGTGTTGTTGCTCCAGCTGAGGTTGTCATTCATGTGTACACACAAGTACTTGTAGCTGGAGACCACTTCCACCGCACCACCGCATAAGAGCACAAACTAGAGCAGTTTGATGCAGATTTTAAACAACAATGTTTTTGATGGAATTAAAGAGATCTCAATTATTATTTTTTTATTGAAAAACGTTTTGAACTGAAGTTAAATAATCCAAAAATTACAAGTTTCCAGTATTAAAAAAGTAATTTACACAAACCCTGAGTGTCAAATGTTTTGATAAATGAATGGTTAAAGTAGCACAACATATTCAATAGTTTGACTGCAAAAAAAATACTTTAACACACAAAATAATAGTATCATTCATTCTAACAGTTTGTTTACTGAAGCACAAAATAGATTAAATCTGACCTTGTTTTTTGTTTCTACAGCTTTTTGCTGAATTTACTGATTTACATCAGCTAATATGTTAGTAATATTTCAATACTCATTTTTATTCTCCTTCTTGTACATGCTCTCATGTTGTGGGCTAAGAGGTACCCTCATCTAGCATCACTGTTTCTGTTCAGCCCTCACCGTGGGCTCATCAGTGATTACCACGTGAAGGGCATCTGAAACACTCCGATTAGTGTAACGATATGTGGACACACCCGAGACACACACCAGTTGAAACAAAATCTTCCTTTTCCAGGAAAAAAACAAGTCAGCTTTTAAATAAATGCAGGAATTTCAATGCATATTAATCACCTGCCATCATGAGAGGTGGGTGAGTACATAAATGTCTTTGTGTTATTCTGTCTGATAGCCAAAAAAGAAGAAAAATCATGAGCCACTGAACAAATTTTAAATGGACCCTCACAGTAATCACTGAATGATGTGGTGAGATGTTTACACACTGACTGCTTGAAAATTACAACTGTGCCAGGGAACCAACCAACTTAAATAAACTCTACCAGTTCTGCCAAGAAGACTGGTCAAATATCAGCCAGGGAGAGTAATGGCTGAAGCTTGTTGACAGAAACATAAAGTCTGTGATCAAGAAGCTTCTCGCTAAAGGACATTTAACCATTTCATTAGTGATGCATGTATATATTTGAGTCTATTTATGTAATTCTAAACCAGGGATATTCAACATATACACACTGAGCTTGAGAACGAGGTTGAGAGGTACCGACTAGATATAGTTGGGCACACCTTGACGCACAGCATGGGCTCTGGAACCGATCTCCTTGAGAGGGGCTGGACCTTATTCCACTCTGGAGTTGCCCATGGTGAGAGGTGTCGAGCTGGTGTGGGTCTACTTGTAGCCCCCATGACTTGGTGCCTGTGTGTTGGAGTTTTCCCCAGTAGATGAGAGGGTGGCTTCCATCCACCTTCGGGTGGGGGGGACGGGCTCTGACTGTTGTTTGTGCCTATGCGCCGAACTGCAGTTCAGAGTATCCGGCCTTCTTGGAGTCCTTGGCAGGGGTGCTGGAAGGTGCGCCAGCTGGGGACTCCTTTATTCTGATGGGGGACTTCAATGTCCACGTGGGTAATGACAGTGTGACCTGGAGGGGTGTGATTGGGAGGAACGGCCTCTCTGATCTGAACCAGAGTAGTGTTCTGTTGTTGGACTTCTGTGCTAGTCATATTTTGTCCATCATGAACACCACGTTCGAACATAAGGGTGTCCATAAGTGCACTTGGCACCAGGACGCCTTAGGTCATAGATCGATGATTAACTTCATAGTCGTGTCATATGATTTGTGGCCATTTGTTTTGGACACTCGGGTAAAGAGAGGAGCTGAGCCGTCAACTGATCACCACCTGGTAGTGAGTTGGATCTGATGGCGGGGGAAGATGCCTGACAGACCCTGTAGACCCAAACGTGTAATGAGGGTTTGCTGGGAACGCCTGGCAGAAGAATCCTTCAGAGAGATCTTCAACTCACACCTCCGGGAGAGCTTTAACCACATCCCAACTGAGGTGGGGGACATTGAGTCAGAGTGGGCCATGTTCCACGCCTCGCTTGTTGAGGTAGCTGCCTTGAGCTGTGGCCGCAAGGTTGTTGGTGCTTCTCGCAGTGGCCATCCACGAACTCGGTGGCGGACACCCCGGGTTAGGGAAGCTGTCCAATTGAAAAAGGAGTCCTATCTGGCATTGTTGGCCAGTGGGACTCTGGAGGCAGCTGAGGAGTACCAGAGGGCCAAGCGGTGTGCAGCCTTGGCTGTTGCTGAGGCAAAAGCTCGGATGTGGGAGGAGTTCGGTGAGACCTTGGATAGAGACTCTCGGTCGGTTCCGAGGAGATTCAGGCAAACCATCAGGCAACTGAGGAGGAGAAAGCAGCACTTTACTAATACTGTGTTCAGTGAAGGTGGGGTGCTGTTGACCTCAACCAGTGATGTCGTCGGGAGGTGGAAAGAATACTTCTCAGACTTTCTCAAGCTCACTAGCACGTCTTCCATGGAGGAAGCTGAGTCGGGGGACTTTGGGGTTGATCCGTCCATAACCATGGCTGAGGTCGCTAAGGTAGTTAAAAAGCTCAGAGGTGGCAGGGCTCTGGGAGTGGATGAGATTCACCCTGATTTCCTTAAGGCTCTGGATGTTAAATGGTAAATGGACTGTACTTATATAGCACCTTTCTATCTTATTTCAAGATACTCAAAGCGCTTTACATTACAATCTGTGCCCTCATTTACCCATTCATACAGCACTCTACTAGACCTCTACCAACTAATTGAACAAATCATTCTAAAGAGACTAATCAGTGCTTTAGATCACATTCATACACTGATGGGACACAGATCAGAAGCTATGAGGGGTTCAGTGTCTTGCCCAGGGACATTTCAGCATGTGACTGCTGGTGGATTCGAACCCCCAGCTCTCGCATTGGAGGACAACTGCTCTAACCACTCAGCCACAGCCACACCCATGTTGTGGGGCTATCTTGGCTGACATGCCTTTGCAACGTCGAATGGACATCGGGGGCAGTGCCACTGGATTGGCAGACCGGGGTGGTGGTTCCCCTCTGCAAAATGGAGGACCAGAGGGTGTACTCCAATTATAGGGGCATCACTCTCCTTAGCCTCCCTGGTAAGGTCTATTCAGGGATACTGGAGAAGCGAGTCCCATCGTTGGTCGAACCTCAGATCCAGGAGGAACAATGTGGGTTCCGTCATGGCCATGAAACACTGGATCAGCTCTTTATCCTCACTAGAGTCCTTGAGGGGTCATGTGAGTTTGCCCATCCAGTCTACATGTGTTTTGTGGACTTGGAGAAGGCATTCGACTGTGTTCCTCTGGGTACACTGTGGGGGGGTGCTCCGTGAGTATGGGATTGGAGACCCGTTGTTATGGGCTGTTCAGTCCCTATACAAGTGGCGTGAGAGTTTGGTTCTCATTGCCAGCAGTAAGTCAGACCCCTTCAGGGTGGGAGTTGGACTCCGCCAGGGATGCCCGTTGTCACCGATTTTGTTCATAACTTTTATGGACAGAATTTCTCGGTGCGGCCAGCTGGCGGAGGGGTTCCGGTTCGGTGGCCTCAGGATTCCATCTCTGCTCTTTGCAGATGATGTGGTCTTGTTGGTGTCATCATGCCGTGATCTTCAGCTCTCACTGGAGCGGTTCACAGTCAAGTGTGAAGTGGCTGGGATGAGAATCAGCACCTCCAAATCTGAGGCCATGGTCCTCAACCGGAAAAGGGTGGATTGCTCTCTTCAGGTCAAGGGTGAGGTTCTGCCTCAAGTGGAGGAGTTCAAGTATCTCGGGAGCCTGTTCACGAGTGAGGGAAGAATGGAGCGTGAGATTGACAGGCAGATTGGTGCAGCATCTGCAGTATTGCAGACTCTGTACTGGTCCGTTGTGGTGAAGAGAGAGCTGAGCTGTAAGGCAAAGGTCTCTGTTTGCTGGTCTGTCTATGTTCCTACCCTCACCTATGGCCATGAGCTCTGGGTAGTGACCGAAAGAATGAGATCACTGATACAGGCGGTTGAATTGAGTTTTCTCTGCAGGGTAGCTGGACTCTCCCTCAGAGATAAGGTGAGAAGTTCAGTTATCCGGGAGAGACTCGGAGTAGAACCGCTACTCCTTCACGTTGAGAGGAGCCAGTTGAGGTGTTTGGGCATCTGGTAAGGATGCCCGAGCCAGTTGAGGTGGTTTGGGCATCTGGTAAGGATGCCCCCTGGGCGCCTCCCTAGGGAGGTGCTTCGGGCATGTCCAAGTGGGAGGAGACCCTGGGGAAGACCCAGGACATGCTGGAGACACTATGTCTCTTGGTTGGCCTGGGAACGCCTTAGAATCCTCCCAGAAGAGCTGGAGAAGGTGGCTGTGGAAAGAGATGTCTGGGCCTCCATGCTCAAGCTGCTGCCCCCGTGATCCGACTTCGGAATAAGCAGAAGATAATGGATGGATGGATGGTTTCGTCCTCTATACGGAGGGCTTCAACAGTCTAAGAAGTCGCAATTAAACGGTTTCCCCACTAAGCAGTACGCAACTCTACAAAAAAGAAACTGTCCAGATGACCTGACTGAGCATTATTGGATTTGGTGCCTGGATGATAGAGCATGAACTTTGATAAATGCCACAGTGCTATTTGAAGGTTATCATTAAATTGCTCACATACCAAGCTTAACCTTGAACCTTAACCATTTAGACCTTTTTTTTTTTTTTTGTAATTAATGTGATGGCTTTGAATTACCGTAATTTCCGGACTATAAGCCTCACATTTTTTCACAGGCTTTGAACCCTGCGGCTTTTACAATGCTGTGACTATTAATTTATTAATTTTTTGACGGGCTAATGAGCTTCATGCTGCCAAAACATTTAGCCTCATCACACCCGGGCGCTCACATAGCTGCCCAATACACGTCTCTCTTGGGGTGGTGGGTCCTCATGACTCAATGAGACTACCTGTATAAATAAAGGTTAAAAATAAAATCTGACCAATAAAATTACCAAACAGGTCACAGTGGATCAATGAAAAGGGGAGCAGAGACCAATGAAACAAGAAGGGCAGGAGAGAACTGGGGGATTTCCTCCCCTCCCTGGGGCCACAACGAAGTATTTGCAGCCACTCAACATAAGTGTGAATTGTGCATTTAAAGTGATACTCCAAGCTCTGTGGGAAGTTTGGATGACTGGTGGCGAGAAATCATTTACAAAAATTGGCCACATGCGCAGAGCAGCTTTTGCTCAGGTCAACCAGTAGATTCTGACAGCAGAGCAGTGTAAAAAAATCCTCCATCACCAACGGGTTTCGAAAGTCAACTGGTTGATGAAGAGGCCAGCACAAGTTCAAAAGAAGCGGTGCACAGGAGGAAGATGAAAATAGCGATCAATGACTTCCTGGTAGGCTACTGTATTTTTTTTTTTTTTTTTACTAGTCATGTTACAGGCACTTTTCAGAAAAAAATAAATAAATACTGTACGCATTTGTGTATGTATGTGTTTAATTAAAAGTTTAAAAATCTTTCTGTGTAAATATCTTGTTACACCGTGGACACCCTCGGCTTATAGACAAGCGCGGCCTTTATATTTACTTTTTTATAATTTTATTTAGTGGGTGCGGCTTATATTCAGGTGCGCTCAACAGTCCAGAAATTATGGTAATGTTTTATGATGCAATGTAAATACCATCAAGAGATCATAAAACACTGTATAGTTGAGGACACCGGCCATCGCTTTGGCTGAGGAGATGAGTCACCCACAGTTTGTACTACAAACTACTTATTAATACTCCTTTGTGAACAAAAATACTGTATATGAGAACCTGTTCATGGCAGGTTTATATTTTTTAAAATAACATTGCTATGATCTCCAGGGATGAATTTAAATGTTTCTCTACCCAGATATGTCTGAGCAAAAGGAAGCTGTTATTAAAATAGGCTTTTAGACAAACTGAACAGGTCCGGTATCGTCCTAATGAAGGCTCATCTAACTTTAACCACAGCTCTACATGTCATGACCCTAACAGGCTGATTATAGGTCAGTGACAGACTGTGTTCTGTGGCATGATAAATGTGCTGCCTTTTACCTTGGGACTCAGAGACTGAGAATTTATTCATATTCATGGGCACATAGTCTCATATAAAGTATTTTATTACAGATAAATGACAGACTACTATAGTAAGAGATTCTGGTTCAACATGGATACACACCTCTGGGGTAAATTCCAGGGTCCATGAAGGTGGCCATGCTGAAGTTGGCCAAGACGAAGAGGAAGACCAGGCCATTGTAGAGAGGCACAGCAAGAGAGATGACTTTTGTCAACCAGGGGCATCTGAAAAGCACACGTGGAAACACAGGGATTAGATTTTTATTTTATTTTAAACAAGACAAATTAATTAAACATAGTTTTAAAAAAATCTCAGAAGTGCTTTTGCCGTTCAGAGATATGATTCTTACATGAGAAACCTACTATCACATCATCTCATTCTGTTTTTATGACTGATTACTAAGTTTTCCTAATATGCATAACTGGACAACAATAATAAGAGAATAAAACCAGTGTTCCCAGTTGTGCTGTAACTTTATGTTTGAACTCTTGAATGAACAGGAGTTCATTCCCCAACTGGAGTCACATTTTCCCCTAAAGATTTTTTCAGCGTCATAATTTACTGATAAATAAACAGAACACCATTTTATTGATTTAAAAAAATAGAGATGTTCTTGTTTTGCAAAGGGAAAACATTTTCAGCTCTTGTTGAAAATCCACCATGTTTTACAAGCTCTCTGTAAGGAAGGGAAGTATGTGATTGTCATCATCGTATGCGCCCATACAATAGCAAATTTAAGTCTCTGCATTTAACCCATCACACCTGAGATACACTCAGGTGGAGCAGTGGGCAGCTATGCAAGCGCCTGGGGAGCAATTAGGGATTAGATGTCTTGCTCAGTGACACCATGACATGTGGGCATGGCTAGGAGTCGAACTGCAACTTTCTGGTCCTAAGTCAGCTGCCCTACCCCCAAAGGTCTCATACTCTTTAAAGAACAAACCAACTAAAACAAACAAAAAGAAAAAAAACTCAATCATCTGAACTCGCATATCAAGAATAAGAATGGTGAAATGTTTATGGGACCTTTCTAAAGATAAACAAGACATATTAAAGCCTGTGGTTGAACATCTTGCAACAGGTTACTCATAAAGAAAATAGCAATTAATTAAGAAGGGATACTAGTGTTTCAGAAACGCACAATCACTAGTACCCTCACCCTCACTGGAGCCTCCAAACGTGCCACTCCAGGTTATTCTGACGTCAAAAAGTCAATTTCCTGGTGCTTGTGCCCTGGGAGTCATCTCCAACCCGTGTCTCTCTCCTCCAATAGTCCTCCTGTGCTTTGTTGAATTATTCAGAGTCGAGGCTGCAGAGAGCCACTAGCGTTGAACAGAGAGGGGAGTTGATAGAAAAGAGCTGGTCTCTCTCACACAATCCGTCAGCACCAGAGATTGGATCTGCTCCTCAGCTCTCTGATACTCAATATGTGTTTTTCATCAAACAGTATAACACTAAAATAGGTCACTGATAGACTTCCTTCAGTTAATATTTGTATTCTTTCAGCATTAACCCCATAATGGTTGGATTGTTCCCACTAAATTATTCCTGCTTAAAGCTCATTAAACAAGTCAACCAAATGCAAGGTGCAATTCTTTGAAAAAATGCCTATCACTCGCCACCATGCATGCCAAAGTTTTAAACAAAGATCTTTCATAATCTGCCAATTATGGGATTACAGGATTATATGTTGGCTGACTTTCAGTTACTAAAAGATTTTAGTTCAATAACTAATAAATCTAATGAGATATTTTATTAAAGCAACATAGAAAAAAAAAAACCACAGAGAGACATGTAATTTTTTTCCCTCACTGGCTCTGGAATGAGGCGCACACATTTATTCTCTCTCCCTGTTCTCCTCCTACTTTTTTGCTCTCTGTCTGTGTATCGGGCCAGCTCCTATTTTTACACATCCTCCAAAATGAAAACTACTGTTTTGGATCTGACCAAGTGGACTTTCGACGTATATTACAAAATCTTTTCAACAAAGCGACAGGGTCCTGGAGAACTCTCATCTGTTCGGACAACACATGCAGCTGGATATATCTCTGGGGAAGTGGATTGTGATGTGTCTACCTCTGCTGTCGATTGAGGATGCCAAAATTGCATATAATTGGATTTATGATAACAGATGTCCTGTTTTTGGAATAGTTTGGTTCCTGGTTTATCAACATACAAAGAAGACGGCCACAGCTAATTTGGCCCTTGTCAGGCTGCTGCCTAGTGGAAGGTTTGGTTTGTGCTTTGAGGACTCAAAATCAGCTGATTTATGAGCTAAACCGTTAGATGGAAGTGATTTGAATCACAGGCCACCTGCGGCTTTGGGACTCGTCAGCACGAAACAACCTTGAAGAGGCTTGTAAGCATGGACCAGTAGAATGCACCCTAATCTGGCCATTTCAGACCTTGGAAGTACCAGTAAAGACTCGGGGCTGCCAGAAGTTACACTGAGCAATTTTATCCATGACCAGGTGAAATGGCAGAACCAATGGGTGGCCAATGTTGGCCAAGGCCACCATAGATTAATCTTTGGCCACCCCAATCATTTGAGGAAACTATACTTTTAATCAATATAAATACTAGAAAGCACAGTTTCCTCAAATGATAGGGGTGGCCAGTTTACATGGTGACAGCCATCTTGAATTTTGACAAGACAACCCAATTTTCGATAGTGACATTTCTCGAGCCTAGATGCAGCCAGACACAAAATGGATGGCAGCATGTTGCTTATTTTTCCAAGTTATCCAACTCACAAGACACAGCAATCTTGGATTTTGAAGTGAAGTGATATGTGTTGCCATCACTGCATGCAAAAGCAACAATGAAATTTGTCCTCTGCATTGAACACATCACACACATGAGATACACACAAGAGCAGCGGGCAGCTATTTAAGCGCCCAGAGATTAGGCGTCTTGCTCATGTTGCACAACGAAACATGTAGACATAGCAGGGAATCCAACCTGTGTCTTTATGGTCCCAAGATTATTCTCCTACCTCTGCACCACAGTCATTTCTTTTTAATGTCAACCCACTTTTCAATAGGGAGCTTTTTTGTGCCTAGATGAAGCCACACACCAAAATGGAAGTCGGAATGTTGCTTATTTTTTAAGTTACCAACTCACAAGGTTGACATATATATACATATACACACACATATACACACACACCACACACACACATATACACACACACCACACACACACACACACACACACACACACACACACACACACACACAC